CTGGCTTAGAAAACACAATCCATTGATCTGCTGCCTATAGGAGACACATCCCAAGCTTGCTGACAAAAACAGGTTGAGAATTAAAGGCTGGAGAAAAATATACCAAGCAAATGGCAATGCAAAAAAAGCATGGGTAGCAATCTTAATCTCTGACAACATTTTGTTTTATCATTGCTTAAAACTTGTCCCAGTAGGCATTCATGATCCTGTAAGTAAAACTTTACTTCCTTTAAAGGTAAATACCTATTATAAAAATTCCATTAACTAATAATTTCATGTTTTCTAAGACTCGGTTTGTGCTCTATAAAACAGACTTGTCTGTGCCACCATAAATACGATTTAGTGAAACAGGAATTACTAGCCAAGGGAATATCAGCTTGTCCCTACAATGTCTTCTCAGTCATTTGATGAATGACAGGGGATTAAGAGGAATCAAACCAAACAATGATTAAAGCATGCTACTTAAGGAGTAGAGAGCTATTCTCAATTGACCTGACTTGTTAAGAAAAAAAACCCTGCCTGCCACTTGAATTGTTGGCCCTCTTCCCTCTCCCTCATGAGCTATAAAAACAGAGTTTAGAGGACTACCAGAGCAATGAAAAGATGTTAGTAATAAGGAAGGAGTAGGCTGAGATTACCTTTCTCTCTTGCTTAAAAGCTTACATCTTCAGTCCCAAAGTCACTAGACACAAAAATCTTGACCCAATCATGCAATTCACTATTCCAGACCAGCTCCCCTCCATGAAGACTTCCAGACATCTTCAGACGGGTGCTCCTGATTGACGATGCACACAATGCCACTGCGCTTTTCAAGAGAGAAGTAAATAAATAATTTTTTCTTTTGTTGTTGTTGTTGTTCTACACATGCCTATAATGAGCACATAATCACATATTTCTATCTGAGTACATGTACCAAGATAGACATTTAGATAGAAAGTAAGAAATAAAACTGCTTGATTATGGGGTATGCAAATTTCTACTAAGACACTGCCAAATTGTTCTCTAAAGGATTTACATTAATTATAATTCTCCACTATCAAAGTATAAAAGCCCACTCACACACATATACAAAATAATTTTAAAAGTCAATATTCTACAGATAAGAGCCCACAAAACAGAGAATCAAGGATAGATAAACCCCTCAGGCCAAAAATGAGAATAGAGATACCAGGAGGATAAGGGGAAGGTGAGGGAGAAAGGGGCAATCGATCACAAGGATCAAAATATAACCCCCTCCCAGGGGAACGAATAACAGAAAAGTGGGTGAAGGGCAAAGAGGATGATGTAAGATATGAAAATAATAATCTATAACTTATCAAGGGTTCATGAGGGACAGAGAAGGGGAGGTGGAAAATGAGGAGCTTATATCAAAGGGCTCAAGTAGAAAAAAATTGCTCGGTAAATGATGATGGCAGCATATATACAAATGTGCTTGACACAATGGATGAATGTATGGATTGAGATGGGAGATGTAAGAGACCCAATAAAAGTATTTAATGAAAAAGCCAATATTTTTATTGTTTTAATTTGTAATTTTATGGTTACTAATGCATGATATTAAGTATCTTCTTCCATATTCAAATTGGCTGTCTATTTTTATTTTGTTAATGTCCTGTTCAAATCCTGTACCCATTTAAATCTGAGGTTTAAATGTAATTTATTAATACTTTAGGGGACTACATAAATTTGGATGCTAATAAATAATTTTTAAAATGTAGCAAGTATTTCAAGTCCTTTTGAACAAGCACTTGTTGATAAACATCAAGGATTGCAGCTTTCAGTATGGATTACAATTTAATGTAAAGAAAACAAAATTTCTCACAAATAGACCAATAGATAAAATCATCATAATGGGAGAAAAGAGTAGAGTTGCCAAGGATTTTTCTTGCTTGGATCTGCAATCAATGTGTGTGGAAGACAGCAGTTAAGGAATACAAATGTACGTTGCATTAGGTGACTCTGTTGCCCAGGACCTCTTGAAAGTGTGAAAAAGCAAGAATGGTACTTTGCGGACTAGCGTTCACTTTGCTCAGCCATGTTATGTTCCATTGCCCTATAAGCATGTGAAAATTGGACATTGAATAAGGGAAGCCAAAGAATAATTGATGTATTTGAATGGCAGTGCTGTCGAAGAACAGTGAAGTGCCACGGACTGGCAAAAAACAAACAAATCTGGTTTTGGATGAAGTACGTCCAGAATGCTCCTAGGAAGCAAGGATGGTGAGATTCAGTTTCATGTGCTTTGGACATGTTATCAGGAGATACCAATTTCTAGGTAAGGATCTCTTAGTTGGTAAAATAGAGGGGGTGGGGGTGGGGAAGAAGAGGAAAGCTCTCAACAAGATGCATTGACACAGTGGTTTCAACAATGGACATAGGTTGCTGTGAGTCCGACAGGACTCATGGGCATCTAATGACAACCACCACCACCTTGTAAGAGATGTGTAAATGTAAAGAGATGGGATTGGAAGGGTCTGGAATATTGACCATAATGTTTGTATTTCAGATTATCAGCAGTTGAGAAAATAGATTTTTGAGTAGAGAGTATTATGAATACGTGGTTTAGGAGCATAAATCAAACCAGGTGTTGTCATCATTCAGCTCTTTGTTCAAAAGGCTTCTCTTCAGAGAAGCTTTTTCTGATCATCCTAAAGATAGTCACCTCTACCTGCTGCCCAATTACTTTATATTCAATTTTCCTGCTTTATTCTCTTCATAGCACTGCATAGCTATCTCATAGTAAATTAGTTACTGTTCATACTGCCTTCTCTCATGTTACCTGTGTTTCTCATTACAATGGAAGTTCCATGAAAGTAGAAAACGTATTATCTCCACTTTTATATTACCACTACTGAGAAAAATACATATCCTTGGATGTTCATGATAATATTTATTAAGTGATCAAATGCATAGAGTTGTCAAAGATATAAAACCCGGTGCCAAGAACATAGTTATTTATAAGAAAAATATCTAAAGGCTTGGCTTATCTCCCTGCATAATAATTTAGGATATCATTCAAAAACTTTATCCACTTAATAAAAACAATTATGGACTAGTTTAGATAGTTTTATTTCCTATTAAAGAATTACCAAAATAAACTGGTATCTCTCATGCTGAAATGTTTCTCCAACTGCAAATCCATTCCCACAAAAGTATGCATTGAGTTCCAGGAAGTATTCTAGATTATGCATTAAATGAGTAATGCTGTGGCAGAATTACTGTGTCAAAAAAAGACAACCTGTGTTTAAGCTATTTGCTAGACACAGCTCTAGTGAACACAACTGGTTTCACTGAGGAGGAGCTCTGAAATAGATGGACCCTGAGTCAGAACACTGGTTCACCAATCTGTGGTGGTACTCCTTGGGTGGGTCACTCAGGTGACCAATCCAAGTTATGAGTATTGTTTTTTTGTAAGTATCCGACTCAAAGAGCATTTTCATTTCTTCCTTTAAACCACAGATCCAGAACTGTCATCAACACTTGTTAAACAAGTTTCCTTTTAATTGCTTTCTGCTATTGCACCCAGCCCTTAAAATTCCAACTATCATTGTGGTTAGTACCATTTAACTGAGAACCACTGATCAGGACAAAAGGAGCACAGAAGTTTCATTTATCTTCATTAATACCAACAACCCTTTTATCTGCACATTATGTATAGGTAAGTAGAGATTTGCTTGCCTAAAATTCTGACATAAATAAATTTACTACTATCTCCTAGATAGGTCTCCCAACCATGGGATCCAGTGAAACCTTTGCCTTAAGAAAGCATTTATAGTTTCCCCACAGCATTTTGGGACCCGCACAAAGACAGCACTGTAACAACAATGTACTTGTCTTTGGAATTTATAGTTTTATGTGATAATTGAGGATTATTTCAGAATAAGGTGATAAGGAGTTTTAACATCTTGTGATTGAGAAATAATATAAATGCATAGCTGTTATGAAGTTGAGGGGAGGTAGTTGAGAGAACTTTTTTTTTCTTCTCATGAGTGAATTGGTAACTTGTTGGTGCTAAAAATGATGTTGAAGACTCGCTGTATTTCTTTGCTGTCTTGTGCTTTCTGAGCGCTCTCCTGGATATTCTCTAATTGTATTTTCCTCACTCCACTGCGGGGAGTGTCCTTGGGGACTTGTATGTAAAGCCATCTGTTTATATCTGTGAAATAGTCATGAGTAGAATAGTGTAGTTATAGATTAAACTCATGCTATTTTAATTTTTAAATTATCTAAATATATTATTGTTGTACTAAGTAAACAGTGATGATTCATATGAAACTTAAAAGGATATATTTTTTTAGCTTGCAAGGAGTCTAAAATATAAGAAATAAAGCAAAATTAACAAAACAGTTTTGAAGTATTTAATGTTTAAGTAAATATGGAATATAAATTACATAAATATTTCTCTAAGATTTTTAATCTCCATGAAATAGCTAAGACCATTAAGACAGTACATATCTATATATCTACATGCATACACACACATATGGGTTTTCACAAAGTTCATGGAAACTAGAAATAACAGACATTATAAATCTATGACGTTTTGAAACACATATAAACAATGCAAATATTTATGAAAAGTGATTCTAAAGCGTGAACTCATGGAGGCAGAATCTGTCAATAGCATTTATCTGTATTAAATAAAATAATTTACTGTTTTATGGTTTTCTTTTTATTTAAAATGTTAATCCTATTTATCACTGTGGTATTTTCTGATTAGACACATCTCTATTTTAT